CTTTAAAAATGTATCAAATAATACTATATTTTGGATCATGCAGTATCTTACAAGATATCCTATTTATTCATAATTGTATTTGTTCATCCGTCAGGCTACAGTGATTAGGCAGGCGTTTAACGTATTCAGCCTTTCTGTATAGGCCTACAGCAAAGTAGAAAGAGTTTTGCCTTATAAAATAATCCCCCAAACAGCTGTCAAAATTGACCAAAAACAATACATTTTATTCTGTCACTAATTGATATATATATTCATCACAATTGAAAATATTTTTGTTTTTAGAATATTTATTAGTGATGCATGCAATGATTACAGAATAACCAAAAAAATGCAAAGAATGGCAATCACTGATTTTGAAATCCAAATCAGATATAGTGTCTAACTATTGCGTACCTTGTTGCACGTCCTGTTTGCTGTTTGCTCGAAACAACTTACTCTGACCAAACTGCAGCAAACCAAGGCTCAGACAAGCTGGTCTCTCCACATCAGATGAGGAAGTCTGAAATTATTGTGGAGTATTTGACATTAAGTCTTTTTTTAAATTCATACATCTATATTTGAAACTTGTTATAAATATCCTCAATGTACAGTGTTTGTGTTGTAGGTCTCAGATGAGCGGGCTGCTGGAAGAGGATGGAGTGGGGTTTTTCTTGTTTTTAGCTTTTTTTAAATGTGTGTGTTTTCATTTCAAATAAAAATAAACTTGTATTGACCCCACACTGGCTATTCTACTTGTTGCTCTTTACATATCTATAGTTCTACATTGTGATTTCCTATCCTGTTTGAGCACTGTTTATCCAGATTTGGTGATCCTGAAAAGTTCCTATCCGGATCAGATTGATCCAATCCGATGTTGCTTTGAAAAACTGGCTCAAAAGTAAGATGGATTACGTGATCACGGATCGCAAAAAAAAGGATTACTAAATCCGGATCAATTTTATCCGGATTAAACCTTTTGAAAAACCGGGCCCTGCTGCCGGTTTCAATGACGGTCTCCCCACAAGTCCTTTAATTAAAACACTTAGTTTCAATGCACAATGATAATACAGTACAACAAGCCTCCACATCATGGATACAGACAAGACGTAGTAGTCTATTTAAACATAAAGTTATGGATTTAAACGTAACATAACCAGTAAAAAAATACCAGTCTCAGATTAAAAGTTATGAACACTCAGCCTAGTTTTACTATCGTATTTTATGTATAACCGCTACGGAAAAGTGGATAGAAGCGGAGCATTTCACAGAGGTCTGGCCGAGAACAGGCTGCTCTCTGCGGTGTGAGATGACCGCCCGGTGCTGGGGGAGTCAGACGATCCTGTTAACTAGACCTCACATCTCCAACATCCTCGGAGCAAATTGTTGATAAACCAACTGCAGAAATGTTGCTTAATCAACTATTCCGTCAGTTAAATATGGTAGTATTTATAAATGTGGACCTATATAAAGACGGACGAGTCCGGACTTAAGAGCATATTAAGGAAGGACGAAAGATTGGCGCTTTTTGCTGTTCAAAACCCACACTCTTTGCTTCCGCCTTCCGGTGTAACTGAAATTTCACTCATGAACACCAGTGAAATTTCACTCACGAACACCAGTGAAATTTCACTCACGAACACCAGTGAGATGCACACGAGTGGTTCATTAGTATGCGTGAGAGTGTCTCAGTAGTGTGCGTGAGAGTGTCTCAGTGGTGTGCGTGAGAGTGTCTCAGTAGTTAAGTCCTAAACGGCCCCTCATACTTCCTGCTTGCGTCATGAGCTTTACCTCCGTTGCTCCTGTTGCCTAACAACCTGTCTTAAAAGACAAACAAATTACAAAGTACAGAAAAAGAAGATCTTGTTTCATTTAATTCAGGAAGAAAAGATTCTCCTCCAGAGCATGCTATATTTTAGGCTGAGAGAAGAACTTGAAGAAGAACAAAACAAAAGGAGAAAAGCAAGTTCAGTTTCTTTGTGTATTTATTCTGTAATGTTACTGATTTAGAAAGTGATATTTTAGGTTCATAACTAATAACTACGGGCGGATGCGGGCAGACGAGCTGCCGTTAACAGCGCAGCGGCTCCCGGTAATGTGAACCGTTCCATCCATCATTGTGACGCTTAGTCCCTCCGGGCCGCACAAGATCGAAGCCCCTGTTTTAATGAGAAGATCCCTTCCCATAAGATTCACTGGAACTTGAGGTGAAACAACAAAAGAATGAGTCAATGTTTGATTTCCCACTTTCACCGGTAGGCAGGGCTGTAGTGGAGGGTAAACGCACGTAAACACCGTTTACGCACCTCTGGAATTTTGGAAATAGCGTTTACGCACCTATAAATAGCGTTTACGCACCTCTAAGTGGCGTTTACGCACCTCAAAGTTCCCTGCGCCTTGTATTCTTCCGTTGGAATAATCCGAAATAAACTTGGTGTAATTTCAAAACAGCTAAGACTACGTTTCCTATTGTTGTACACCCACTGTACGGCTAACAGTAGACGCTGAAGCTGTTGCTTCACTGAATAGGCCTATATGCTTAATCAATTATTTTAAGTCATGAAAGTTGTAGAGTAGCCTGTAAGCGAAATACACTGTAAACATAGATTATTAGAAAACAAGTCAGTTCTCAATGTGAAAAAAATATGCTGTATAGGCTATTTATGATGACATAGGCAGTACATGAGTGTTCCTTTAACTTATGTTGTCAGTGTAATTGACAGGCTGCTTAAGTGGTTAACTCTTAAATTCAACATATTTTTTCAGGCAGTGAGAGGACAGGCGATGATGCAGAGAGCACAGGGAGAGGAGAAACACCAGGTTGAATAGAGAGAGGAGAAGCACAGAGGAGCCATGAACCCCCAGAACACGCGTTCTGGGGTTCATGGCTCCTCTGTGCAAGGCAGGACCTGACGTGGAGGACAAGGAGGCCCTCTGGGAACTACTGTAAAAAGGAGACTCCATATGTAGATAGTTCTTAATCTGCAATTGTCTTGTTGTGTTGTGTTGACATACTTTTCTTTACTGTACACATTTATTCATTGTCATTGATTATATATGACTTTTACTGATAACATAATGCAATATAGCCAGGACAGCCTTACAGAGTCGCGCCGCTTTGTGTTGCGTTGCTTCGCATCGCGTCGAGGTCTGTATGATCACAAAAATTCAGAGTTTACCCACCTCTAATTGAACCACTACAGCACTGCCGGTAGGGGTACTGTTAGAGGCAGTTTCTGTGACACCCCGGAGAACCCCACAACGCTGGCGCTATCTCTGGACATAGCAGACGAGCCCGCTGCCTGTATGGTGGAGTATGTGGCCCCCAGTGTCAATGAGAAATGGCAGTTGTTGTTGTAGTACCGTGAGTGACAGCATGGGGTCTGCCCTGCCCCTGCTGTCCGGGTCTCTCTCGGGGGTGTGTCACTGAGAGGCATCTGCCTTATAGCCCCAGTCCTCCAGTGTGGGGTACTGTCCTCTAGGTGGCGGTGCAGCATGTGAGTTGGGGTGGGACACATCTGCCCCTCCCCTATCTTCTTTTACTAGGACACTCCTTGACCTGGTGCCCCTCCATACCAGCTCTTGTGGCTGCCTCTTCCTCCTCGACACGCCCCCCCACCTCCATAGCCTCCCCTGTAACCACCCCCTTGGTTTAAACCCCACCCTTGGGCTGTCCCCTACGACGTCTCTTCCCACGGTGGGAGTGGATACAAATCAGGGGCGTTACCTCCAGCTGGGGCAGCCTGTGCAACCATCTGTCGCTCGTCTTTCCCTTTCTGCTTCTTGTCGCTCACTTCCTGTTTTATTTTGGTGAGCTGGAGCTTCAGCAGTTCAGCCTACAGCTCCTTTAACTGGTCATCTTCCCCTCTCGCTTCTTCTGTCGCGTCTTGTAAATTGTGTAGCAAATGTCTCTCCCACACAGCAGAGTCACTACCTGGTAGGTAGTACCTAACAGGTAGTGACTGTCTAAACCATTCCATTTGCACTCCCGCAGTCCCTGTGTGTTTTACCCATGTTTCCTTACATTCGTCCAAATAAGCGTGCTGTGTTTTTCCCCAAAACAAATGTCTTTGCTGCATTTGTTTTCATGTTTATTTCCATTGGTTCTAAGAATTTTTCATAATATTTTAAATCCTTGATTCAAGTGTTACACTTAAAAAGAAAGTAGTTCAGGGCAACTATAAGTTGCAATGTCTTATCAGTCTGTTAGTTGATTTCATCAAATCCCCTCTACAATCCGCTTGTTCGTGTAGTTTTTGACAGACCTTTGACATCCCAGTAATGATGAGCTTATTCTTCTAAACTGAAAAACAAAAGGAAAATTGATCCTCTTTATTCTTTATATATCCTGGTATTCAAGAAATAAGCATTAACTTAATTATATCACTAAGAAATAATTGCACTCAGGATTGACTTTATTCAACAGTATGTGTGTGTGCTTCTTAAATTTGCTTGAGTGAGGAGGTATGTATTGTGCTATGAAACCGGAAATGTGAGACTTCGGAAAGGATGTAATTAGCAGACCAATCGCAGCCTTGCGGGTGCCTTAAAATGGGTCGAGTTTGCCACAAGGTATGCGGGAGACATAGCAAACATGGAAACGTGGAAACGTGAGCAGAGACAGTTTAGGAAAGTAAACTTGTTCACATCTCTACCAGCAGGTGGCAGAATATGTTTATTCAAACCATTGATTTAACTGCGTTTAAGCTATTTATTTGTTATTACAGATGTATTTAATGCTGTTTATTTCATGTGATTTTAGGGTAAATGTAGGGTTAACCGGTTGCACTGCGATAATAAAAACAAATGTCAAAGAATAATATCTTTAGTTCTGTTAGAAGTTGATGTTCTGTTATTTTTCTTTTGGGGGGCGCCCAAAAGAGAGTTTAAAAAGTGGTTTGCGGGTTTATTAAAACAAGCCATTCATTATCAATAAATTCAAACTTCAAAACACATTTACGTTTTCACATATTCCATCTGAATACTAGCTGTCAAATAGCTCCTGAGTTTCCTAATCCACCCCCAGAGAGCTGCAGCAGAGCCAGACAGCGGGCAGTTTGCCTTGCCCCTCCGAGCAGGGAGAGCGTCTCGAGGTCGGTGAATAAGCAGAAAAGCAGACGGAGAGCGGAGGGGGAAAAAGCTGCATCATTTAGAGCATCGTGTGGCACATGACCGCTGTCTCAGGTGATGATGACAACGCCTTCCGGACATTTACGGATTTTCTATTCGATACTTGATATATTCTATTGTATCGTTTACATGAGATTTGAAGCCGCGGCTTGACTCCCCCTAAGGGAAGGTGCCTGGGCGGATGCTTCTCCCCTGAAGCGCGGGGAGGACAGGCTAGAAGGAGAGACAGGAGCTATGGCTGCCGGGTGGAGCAGGATGCGGGGACCCGGGTGGAGCAGTGTCGGGCCCGAGGTGGAACAGCTGACCCGGGAGCTGGCGGAGGCCAACCGCGAGAAGATCCGAGCGGCGGAGTGCGGGCTGGTGGTTCTTGAGAAAAACCAGAGTCCGAAGCAGCAGTACGCTGACTTGGAGGCCGAGCAGGAGACGCTGAGGCTGGAGCTGGAGCAGCTGCAGGAGGTGGGCTCGGCAGGGGTATGGCTCGTTACTCTAAGAAGTTAACCTGATTACTTGTAATTCCCACCAACTATAGTCGTTCGTTTGCATGGCACCTTCCGGGTCACGAGATGTTTACACTTAAAAAATAAGTTAACGGGGAATGACTTGTATTAAAACGCTAGCATCACTTCCTAGTGCTTGCCCACGGCTCATCGTGCGGTGGATACACCCACTGTACGGCTAACAGTAGGCTACACAGGCCCGGGCGATAACAGAACTCCCAGTTTCATAATTTTGTTTTCTCATGATTTTCTTTTAAAAATGTTTAGCCATACATTATGATAACACACGTGTGCGTATATTACATATAGCTATATTACATATACGCTCACTGGTCCTGTTTAGCGAACACCCCGGGTTGATTAAATGCAAAACAATTAAGGTAACAAAAATTTTGTTCATATTTATTCCAACATGGCTAAAGCAGTAAATAACACAATCGTATTCTTGTCACTCACCCTTACAGACAATTCAGTATAATGTATATATATATATATATATATATATATACACACACATATATACATACACACACACACACATATATACACATACATACACACACACACACACACACACACATATATACACATACATACACACACACACACACACACACACACACACATACACATATATACACATACATACATACACATATATACATACACATACATACATACACATATATACACATATATACACACACATACACACTTACATACACATACACACATACCTTTTTCTTTATAATTTAAAGAAAATGAATCTGTTTAATATTTTTTTTACATAGGCTACTTCCATATTGTGTTGAAATGCAAGCTGCATTGGTTCTTGCATTGTTGATAGAAAATCATATTTGTGACAGATTTTTTTTTCTCTTATAATAAACTCAAACTCAGATTTGAGAAAATTTAGAAAATCGAGATGCATTGATAATCGTTTTATCAGTTTAGAATCGATAATCGGTTTAGAATCGAATCGTTGACCTCTGAATCGGAATCGAATCGTGAGGTGCCAAGAGATTCCCACCCCTATTAAAAATGGTCAACTCATACAAGTCTCCTACGAATACATTATATCTTAATAATTAGCTCTGATTTATTTTTGAGGAATGGTAATCAAATGGAATTTTATTCTTATAGCCCAGTTTATAGTGCAGAAGTTACTGTATATGATCTCTTTTTAGTTTGTTAGTACCCGTGCTGTAGTATTCTGGATCAACAGGAGAGATTCAAGAGAATTATTATAGCAGACTGATTTGAAGGAATCACGATAATCTAGAATGTAATGTCTGTATGCATCAAGGAAGTTTCGGATGTGGATATATTACGTTGGTGAAAAAAGGTAGTACTTGATGTTTGTTTTATCTGAGAGTTCAAGGACACATCCTGGTCAAAGATAACTCCAAGATTCTTTGCGGTGCTACTGGATACCAGAGCAATGGCATCCAGAGAAAAAACACAGACAAAGACAACTGACTCCAAAAAACAATTCTGAGTCTAACATCAGAAAGGTGCTGGTCATCCAGGTTTCAATGTCCTTAAGACATGTTTGATGTTCAGTGAGCTGGCTGATTTTGTGATTAGTTATCTTGTCTGGCTTAATCGATAAAAATAGGGTTTTCTCATAATATTTCTTAAACAAAGCATATGAAAAGTAAATTGGTCCATGGACAGCACCTTGTGGAACTCTATGACTAACGTTGGTAGTCATATAGGTTTCAGCGTTTACAAATTGAAAATCTATCTAAAGTTAGCCAACGCAAATGGATTTTTTTAAATGAAGATGTTTAATTTAAACCACTTTAAAGGATGATGGTGAATAGCAGTTTATACAGTGCATCCGGAAAGTATTCACAGCGCTTCACTTTTTCCACATTTTGTTATGTTACAGCCTTATTCCAAAATGGATTAAATTCATTATTTTCCTTAACATTCTACACACAACAATCCATAATGACAAAGTGAAAACAGTTTTTTGCAAATTTTTGAAATTCTGTTAAAAATAAAGAATGAAAACATAACATACACACACCTGTCTATATAAGGTATCACAGTTGACAGTGTATATCAGAGAATAAACCAAGCCATGAAGTCCAAGGAATTATCTGTAGACCTCCGAGACAGAATTGTATCGAGGCACAGATCTGGCGACGGGTACAGAAAGATTTCTGCAGCATTGAAAGTCCCAATGAGCACAGTGGCCTCAATCATCTGGAAATGGAAGAAGTTTGGAACCACCAGGACTCTTCCTAGAGTTGGCCGCCCAGCCAGACTGAGCGATCGGGGTAGAAGGGCCTTAGTCAGGGAGGTGACCAGGAACCCGATGGTCACTCTGACAGAGCTCCAGCATTGTTCTATGAAGAGAGGAGAACCTTCCAGAAGGACAACCATCTCTGCAGCACTCCACAAATCAGGCCTGTTTGGTAGAGTGGCCAGACGGAAGCCACTGCTCAGTAAAAAGCACATGACCGCCCGCCTGGAGTTTGCAAAAAAGCACCTGAAGGACTCTCAGACCATGAGAAACAAAATTCTCTGGTCTGATGAAACAAAGATTGTACTCTTTGGCCTGAATGCCAAGCGTCATGTCTGGAGGAAACCAGGCACTGCTCATCACCTGGCCAATACCATCCCTAAAGTGAAGCATGGTGGTGGCAGCATCATGCTGTGGGGATGTTTTTCAGCGGGAGGAACTGGGAGACTAGTCAGGATTGAGGGAAAGATGAATGCAGCAATGTAGAGAGACATCCTCGATGAAAACATGCTCCAAAGTGCTCTGGACCTCAGACTGGGGCGACGGTTCATCTTCCAACAGGACAACGACCCGAATCACACAGCCAAGATAACAAAGGAGTGGCTTCGGGACAACTCTGTGAATGTCCTTGAGGGGCCCAGCCAGAGCCCTGACTTGAACCCGATTGAACATCTCTGGAGAGATCTAAAAATGGCTGTGCAGCGACGCTCCCCATCCAACCTGATGGAACTTGAAAAGTTCTGCAAAGAAGAAATCGGGGGTCGTCGTGGTGCAGGGGTTAGAGAAGGTGTGCTGGTGGTTCGATTCCAGACTGCCCCATGTTCCATGTCGAAGTGTCCCTGAGCAAGACACCTAACCCCTAATTGCTCCCCGGGTAATGTGAAAAAGCCATGGGTTTAAAGTGTAATGTAAGTCGCTTTGGATAAAAGCGTCTGCTAAATGACCTGTAAAAAAAGAATGGGAGAAACTTCCCAGAAATAGGTGTGCCACGCTTGTGGAATCATACCCAAGAAGACGTGAGGCTGTAATTGCTGCCAAAGGTGCTTCAACAATGTATTGAGCAAAGGCTGTGAATACTTATGTACATGTTATGTTTTCGTTCTTTATGGGTTGTTGTGTGTAGAATGTTGAGAAAATAATGAATTTAATCCATTTTGGAATAAGGCTGTAACATAACAAAATGTGGAAAAAGTGAAGCGCTGTGAATACTTTCCGGATGCATGAACTTTATTAAGCCACCAAATCAATATGATTTTGGTCAAATAAAAACATACTTCAAACAGGTGTATACACAAAAAGACATGTACAAGCAAAGGAGCTGTTCAGGACTCTGTAGGGCAGATGGTGCAATAAGTTTTTAAATAACATACAACAAGTTGGTGGATATGGGATCGAGTCAAAATAAACACTGTGTATTAACATGCCAACAAAGCAACACTGATGTGAGTTCTATGGCTCTGAGACATAAGACACATCAGGCTTTGAGACATACAGTATATTACACTTGTTAGTAGAAACATTCACTGTTGGTTTGAATCTGCACATTTGCTGACAACAAGGATCTTTATATATTTCCATATATAGGCCCTGTTTGTTGATATGTCTCATTATATTTAGGGTTAAGGCAGAATTAGAACATAATCCTTATGTTCTAATTCTGTCAATTGATACTCCTAAGTCCCGCACGTGTGTGGGAAGCAAAAAGAATCTCCTAGATTTCATGTTGTGCTGTATTCTAATCCATCAGGCTTAATGGCTACCTCGTTGGGATTGGAACAGGGACAGCTGCAGGGTCGGTGCCCAGGGCTAATGAAGGGTGCCGAGGTGCAGATCGGAAACCCGAGGGGGCAGTGACATCTGATCTCTTCAATGAGATCAACCTAACAGAGATTCAGAGGCTCAGGCAGCAGCTGATAACGGTGAGTCTGCTCTCTGATCTATTATGTTCAATTAACTGGTTACAAAGGTTTAGCTCATGATTTTTATTTTTTTACTGATGCCCCTTTTGGTTGCTCCGTTCCCATTGGTTGTCCCAGCTGTGGAGCTATAGGATAGTCATATGTTGACTTGTAACCAGTCAGGAATTAATATGGTGAGATAAAAGCTTGTTTGACTTTAATGAGGTCTGCCCGCAAAACCAATAGGCTAATTTGAGAGAATGCTTGATCAAAAGACCCTTTTCTAGAATGCCAGTACAGCAAATCTGGCATTGTTGTCTCTGCAAGTCTTTGGTAAATGCTAAATGGAATGTACTTTGTAAAGCGCTTTTTTTAGTCTTCTGATCAAAGCCCTTCTGTCGAATTTCAATTCAATTGATTTTGTATAGCAAAAAATCACAAATTACAACTACTCGTTGTGAACCCTATTTCCATTGCACTGAACTTGGAGGGGAAAAAGAAAGGACAAGCGACGTTCTGCTGCTTCTCATGGCACTTACACTGCAACAACAATCAGCTGTGTGCAGGTGGATATTTATTCATTAACCCTGGCCAAAGTCAGGTGGCTCCTCAGTGTCAATCACACATTCAATAATTAAGAGCACCATTCAACAAGCACTTAATCTATGAAAGGCTTTTATTTTTTATTTATGGTACAGGTCACGTCCCAGACCCAGATATGACCCTTTGCCAAAGATCAATTGGGGACAATCAGTGCCAATGCTATAATATTTACCCTGCCTTTGCCAAAAACACCTTTTCAGAGGATTCAAATTACAGTGCAATAATTGAAGACGAAGCAGCTAAATATGTGTAGATCTGATGGTATGATGATATAAAAAAAAGTTTGAAAACGTCATATGTCGTACCATATTTGCTTGGAGTCTCCCTAATCTTGCCACTGCCCCCCTTCAGGTTGATCGGGAAAAAGTTTCACTAATGACAAGTCTGCAGGAGTCCCAGACTCGGCTTCAACACACCCAGGAGGCCCTGAACGAGCAGCATGAGAAGGTCCTCCGTCTGAGCCAGAGAGTGACTGCCCTCCACCACCTGCATGGAAGAGCCCACCTGATCCAGGAAGCAAACGCTAGTGCTACCTCTCAGCTCAACACTTTGGCCCTGATGGACCTGGACAGATATGAGGAGGAACCTGAAGATGAAGGAGAAACTGAGGAGGGTAGGAGTGAGACACTGAAAAAAAGTCAGGTATTTTCATACCACACACCTGGTCTGGAGATCCTGCAGTGCAAGTACCGTGTTGCTGTGACGGAGGTGTTGGAGCTAAAGGAGGAGGTGAAAGCCCTGCATGACAGACTGGCTCAATATGCAGAGGGAGCAACCGAGGAGAAGCCGAGGCGACGCGGCCATCTCCAAAAGCTTGAGAGGCAGGTCTCCTCATTGGAGAAGAGCTGCCAGAAGGGACAAGAGAAGGTAATATATGTGTCATATTAGCTATAAAAAAAATCAGTTTCAGTCAAATCAGTTTGAATTGAAACAACAGATTTTCTCCTTCTTCTCCCAGACTTCTACCCTCGAGTTAAAGTTGCAGGCAGCTCAGTCGGCAGCCAATGAGAGCCAGAGTGTGTTGAACGCAGCTCAGGACGAGTTGGTGACGCTAAGTGAGGAGCTTGCCCAGCTGTACCACCACGTCTGTCTGTGCAACAACGAGATACCCAACCGTGTCATGCTGGATTACTACAGGTCAGACAGTTGTTTAAGGTAGACATAGAAAGATGAAAGATTTCTAAAAATGACTGATTAAACCTGCATTATAGAGTAGAATGCTTACACGTGCGTGACCAACGGCTTACAAAATTCCAGATTTCCTGGAAGAGTAAGAAATTCCAGAGAAATGTTTCTGTTACTGTATTATATTTCCGACAATTTAAGCTATATCTTATTTATATATTTAGGTATATGTTGTTTTAGTATAATTTCAAAAAATCTTTGTATTGGGGCCTCAAACGAAGCCCTCATACAAAAAAAAACTCAAAGCAAACAAAATCAGACAAACAACTGCTCTTGCATTATGAAGGGCCTTCTTCTATGCTTTAACACTGTTTCACCAAACTAACCTAAATTGGTATAACGCCATAACCAATTCTGCGCGATTTGCTTTAACTCGTATGACTGTCACACCGTGAGAGGACTTCATTTTCATCCACTGATATATTGAGGCACAATACTAAAGTAAAAAGAGAACGAACCATCTCTTTACACGTGACTACAGAGCCACCAGATAAACATAAACTGTACAATGCCTTGCCAAGAGTACATATCGGTAGTAGAAATTCAAAAGATATTAATTAGATAATGGTCCGACTGGAAAGACTATTAAATGTTGTATTCCAATACCATAGACCAGAACCAGGTCGAGGGTATGTTTAAAACAATAAGTAAGTTTCAGTACACTCCAATCAATCTAACAATGAGCTACCAAGGTCTTTATTAACATCCACATGGATATCAAAATCACCCACAATTATTACTTTATCCATTTTTAAGGACTAAACTTAAGAAATGAAAATTCAGATAGAAATTATGATTTTATAATTATATATATATATATATATATAATTACACACATGTACAACAAAGACAATCTGCGGTTGGGTGTGAAATACTGAGAACCACACTTTGAAAAGAGTTCAAATCTAGTTTAGGTTTAAGGTTTATTAACCACCTCAGGCTTGTGCCTCAAGTTTCAACATGACTTTGAGGATTCAATTAATTTAAGCTGAAATATTCTCCATTGGAAAGCCACGTTTCAGTAAGAAAAAATAGATCAATGTGATGATGTGATGTGTCATTTATTTACTAAAATGGCTTTGGATGAACGGTATCTAATTTTCTAGAGACCACCTTCAATTCTCCTATTAAGTAGATAGTTTTAACTTTTATCAAGTTATAAGTGGCTGTGGGGTAGACAGTCTCTACAGGGTTTATTACGTTTTAGATGGGGAACTGCTCTGATGGAAGCGCAGAGAAGTGTGTAAGAACGCAACTCTGCTTACTATTCTGAAATCTTGGTTGTGAGAAACTGGGCCCAATTTTGTTTAAAGGACATCTGCTCCATCTGAAGTGGGATGGATAAGGTCATTCATAAAATAGTTTAAAATTCCATGTCATTTAGCTTACGCTTTTATCCAAAGCGACAAAGGGCAAGAAACATGATTTCATCAAATAAACCTAGTTACAATTTGCTATAGATGTACCATTAATTGCTACAATTTGTTAGTCTTTTAGTCAAGAGTCTGAAGAGGTTTGTCTTTAGTTTGCGGCGGAAGATGTGAATGCTCTCTGCAGTCCTGATGTCAGAGAGCTTGTTCCACCATTTCGGAGCAAGGACGGCAAAGAGTCGTGATCTTGTAGTGTTTTTGCTCTCGGTGAGTGAGGGATAAGCCGTTTTGCAGATGCAGAACGGAGTGCGTGGGTTGGGATGTAGGGTTTGAGCATGTCCTGGATGTAGACTGGACTTGATCCATTCACAGCATGGTACGTGAGCACCAATGTTTTGAACTGGATGCGGGCAGCCACCGGTAGCCAGTGAAGAGAATTTCGGAAGTTTAAAGACCAGTCGAGCTGCTGCATTCTGGATGAGCTGCAGAGGTTGAATGGCGGTAGCAGGGATGCCTGCCAGGAGAGAGTTACAGTAGTCCACGTGGGAGATGACAAAAGCCTGAATCAGTACCTGCGCCGCCTTCTGATGTTCTAGAGCGTGTATCTACAGGATTGTTTTGTGGCAGTGATGTTGGGAGTCAGGGAGAGTTGACTGTCAAGTGTCATGCCGAGGTTCCTAGCAGTCACAGTCGGCGTTAACACGGAGTTGCCAAAGTTAACCGTGAAGTCCTGGGTAGGAGAATCTTTTCCCGAGTTGATTTTCAGATGGTGAGCGGACATCCACTGAGAGATGTCAGTCAGACAGGCGGAGATCCGTGCCGCCACCTGAGGGTCTGAGTGAGGGAAGGAGAGAATTAGTTGGGTGTAATCGGCATAGCTGTGGTAGGAGAAGCCATGCGAGCGACCACCGAGAGAGATGTTGTAGAGCGAGGAGGGGACCGAGGACGGAACCCTGAGGAACTTCAGTAGTAAGAGGACAAGGTTCCGACATAGATCCTCTCCAGGTTACCTGGTAGGTGCGGCCGTCAAGGTAGGACGAGAGAAGGGACAGAGCAGAGCCACCAAGTTTCTGAGGGGAGGAAATAAGGATCCACCACCCCTGCCAGTGGGTCTGGGTGTGTGGCTGAAGGAGAAGGCGGAGGAGAGAGCAGCTGGGGTGGATGTGTTCTCCGGTGTGATCCAGGTCTCAGTGAGAGCGAGGAAGTCACTGCTGGGGACTGCTGGATAGCAAAGCCGGAGATGAAGTCTGCCTTGCGAGTAGCTGACTGGCAGTTCTAGAGGCCTCCTGTGACAAGGTGCTGGACATGTGTGGAGCGGGTGGGATAGGTAAGAGGAGAGGTTACAATAGAGAGCAGATCTAACCAGAGGCCTGTAGCATCTGCGATTTGAACCGGTACAGGTAAAGGTGTCAAACACATTAGTAAAAATAGCAGAAGAAGGCGCCGCATTTGCCCGCCCCAGAGACTCGCTTGTCTTTGTTCTGCTCGTCTTGACTCCCACGAAGGACTCCCTTGTCCTGCTCGTCTTTGTTCAGCGAGGCTTCGCAAGCGCTTCACTCAACCTCCCTCGTCAGTGGAAGTCAGCTACGGCTGTGCTGACCACTCCCCCGTCGTTTAGGAGACAAAAGGTTGATTACCCTCAACAGAAACTCCACAAAATACAAAACAACAACCGCTTGACACCTTAATTCGTGAGCAATCACCATGTATTTCAGGGTTTTTGGACTGCAGTGCCCTGAAGGACCACGTGGGGTCCTCAGTGTTCCAGTTTATCCTGTCACATGTGTGTGGTCTTGATTGTATTCATTGTGTTCACCTGTGCCTTGTTTTCTAGCCTTTAAAAAAAGCCACCTGAGTTTCTTTGTGTTTGCCGAGTCTTGGAACTTGACACCTGGAGCTTAGCCACGTGAGATTCTAGATGCTCTACCTCTGTTAGATCTTTTGTTGCCTCTTTTTGGGGACACCCTTAGTTACCTTGTCAAATACCCAGACCTTGTTTTTAGTTGTCTGGGAGTATTTTTAAGTTACTGCCTTATGGAATCTCCTGCTCTTTTTAAGTAAAGAAACCTTTTTTGATTCCCTACAAACAACTCTCCTGTCTCTGTCTCTGCACCTGAGTCAACACCACTCGTAGCACAGTGGTAGGCAATCTGCCTGCTACATGGAGACCCAGGTTCAGATCCCGACGATCCTGATAATGTGCTGTTTTGACAAACTGAGTTTAAGGATTCAAACCTCTTTTTCTTCATAAGAGAAGTCAAAACTATGCACTTGCACGTGCTATTTTGCACTTCTGGTTGGATGTTAAACTGCATTTCGTTGCCTCAGTACTTGTACCCTGTGCAATGACAATAAAGTTGAATCTAATCTAAAAAACGGAGTTCAGGTCAAACGTAAGAGGGCACGCTAGCAGTCAACTTAATAGCAGAGTCTACAGCAAGAACTGGTACGAAAAACGGCAAGCGCTAAAGCAAACTAGCAATCAAGTTAAACTTAAAACAGAATCAACAACAAATGTAGCAGACTAGCTTGGTTTAAAGAAAAGATACTTAGTCCGATTTCAGGTCGCCTGGATGTCTGAAGGTCTACTAGTCGAGATACACAGAAAATGTTTATGGTTAATGTTATTAAGCATTTTGAATATTTAAGTGATTATCACCATGATCTAGAGCGATATAAGCAGAGTATAACTCATTACAAGTCTGTTACTAATGCATTATTGACATAGGCATCATAGAAAGTGTACCAAAAACGTTCTCGGCGGTGCTGTTTTTGGTCTGAATCTGGCCATAGTCTGAGGACAAATTAGCCTCCCGCAAGAGACAGCTCTATGGCAGTCGACTCATTTCTGTCGTGCGTTTGGAATCCTACTTTGCTCTTGTACACGGTGGAGTTCCGCTCCAATGCGCGCACACAAAAACACGTGTGTGTGTGTGTACACACATAGGTGAGCACACTCCCACCAGTGGACAGAGAGCATGTGTGGTAAAAAGTATCTGTCGGCCCGCATCCCTCCCTAAAGCTGGAACAGAACTCTGAGGAAAACATTTCCACCTTTCTGCCAGGCGGTGTAATAAGTAGGAATTAGATAGCCCCAAACTACTGATTGGGTAAATACCCACTAACATGATAATGGTTCTACAGTTCAGAAAAAAAATGATTTACTTTTTTTTTTGTCTAGACAAGGCAGAGGGCTCCGGGGCCTCAGTGCCAGTGTCAAAGCCGTGTCTTCTGACAACAGCAAAGTTCTCCTTACACCACGCCTTGCCAGGCGGCTGGCCGCCGTTGTATCAACAACCTTAACTCCTGTGGGATTGAGGAGCGCCCCGCATTCTCCCTTGAAGGAGCCCTCATCTTGTAAGGGAAAGGAAGAGGAGAAGGTTTGGGAAAAGGATGGTTTCCAGGTGCCATCTGAGCAGAGCCTGCCACCTCCAACTCACTCACCCAGCATCCGTGCCTCTTCATCATCATCGTCATCATCATCACCTGCGCTGGAGCCAGCTGCCGAGCTACGCAGGGAGCCCATGAATGTCTACAACCTCAATGCGATCATCAGAGACCAGGTAGAATAATGTCATTCCCTTTCTTTGTTCTTGTATCCTCTTATCTTCTGTTGTTTTCCCTCTCATCTCCTAGATAAAGCACCTTCAGCGGGCAGTAGACAGGTCTCTGCAGCAGTCAAGACAGAGAGCTGCAGCCAGAGAACTGGCCTCTCTGCTAGACAAGGACAAGGAGAGCTTCATGGAGGAGATCCTGAAGCTCAAGTCTCTGCTCAGTACGAAGAGAGAGCAGATTGCCACTCTCAGACTGGTACTCCGTGCTAACAAGCAGGTGAGACACGTGGTGTGAGACTGTTTAAAAAGGGTTAGGGTTAGCCAGGGTTATCTGTCAGTGTATGATATAAAGAGGCACTTTCAAACCAGTAATTGCTAAACACCTTTTCACCTGTTCTGGCCGGTGATTGGTTTAACATTACCTTCATCAAATGGGTCCAGCAGTTTATATACTCTGTTTACTGACCTGCACCCTGAGACACACCAATACGGTTGATTGAATGACTGACTTCGTAGTGCCAAACCTTTCCTCCATTTCTATTAGTTTAAATTGCCTGTTTTATACCCAAAGAAATCTCAAAATGCAGAGGATACAGCTAACATTATGTACTAAGAGAAGACCAATCACCAAATGGGACTACGCTCTTATACTGCAGGATTGAAAGACCACAACGTGTAGTTAAAATGGACAAAATGTTTTTTTCCAGTTTCCAAATGTACCTTCCAACGAAGTGGTGAGCGGGTCCCCAACACTAGAATTCTCTGCTAGCTCCTTGCTAAGAACTGTCAATCTGGCCAGAGCCATCAGGGGCTGTGTTATTTGGAATGAATGTACAAAAGGCAGACTCAAACATTCTTCAAACTCCGCCTCTCTCCGCCAAATTATGTCCGGTGCCATCCTATTCCGCCAGGTCCCCCTATTTTTATCTAACTGCTCATGAAACCCCACTGTGGCATAACAAGGGAAATTTTCAAACCGCTGCTGGTTATAATGAATGTAATTGATCCGTCCACATTTTTATTGATTGACAACCACCTGAAGAAAGCAGATTCTAAACAGATATTTGATTCCTGGCTTTAAATAGATTGGGCACCCGCCTTTGTACATCAGCAGTCATCTACTGCTGTATATACACTTGGTTATCAAATGAGCCTCCAGGAAGGTTGGCTTTTAGATCTTCTGTTAGTATGGGTGTGTGGGGAAATTATATTTTAATAAGTTGCCTCATTTATTGGTAAGCTTAGTTTCACACTACCATCATACGACACCATGATATGTTTTTTAATTTAACACACAGTTTGGAGCAATAAATTTGAATCGATGGACCTAGTCTATACTTTATACACCACACCAAGAGGTGTCAGTCAAAGCTTGAACCCAACCATCATTTGTTTTCTATTTGTTATTAGTAGAGCGTGAATGTGAATACAGATCGCGAGGAGTAGTATAAATATCAGTCAGTGATTCCTAGCTTTAATCATTACATTTAACACGATCTGTGAAGCAGAGAATGTAGTCGTCCCGCCAATGCCAGAGGAAGGGCCGGGTGGTGATGGAGGTGGACCAGGTATTGGACCAGTCCAACACTCCCGGATTTCTCCGACATCCCCTATGGCCAGTCTGTTCCCTGCTCATCGTCAGCGTTAATGGATTGCTACGGATTTATTACGCATTATATTGATTTATATTAGGGCTCATATAACAAAGATTTGGTGGGAAGGACAAGCCTGACGAGGAGAAAATTAATCACAGAAGCAACTACAAGACCCATGGTAACTCTGGAGGAACTGCGAAGATCCACAGCTGAGGTGGGAGAATCTGTTCCCAGGACAACTATTAGCCATGTACCCCCCAAATCCTGCCTTTATGGAAGAGGGGAAGGAAGAAAGCCGCTATAGGAGCCGCATTTAAGTTTGTCATGTATTAAAATAACTTATTTTTTTGTTCTTTTTTATTTGTGTTAAAAGCAAAGTGTGCCCCCTACAGGAGAGGCGGGCGCTCCTATAAGTTGATGCGAATGGCGCATAGGTGATGGAAGAAAACGGGTTACGGCAGATACCGTCTTTTGACCTCGACCTCAGCCCCGTAACCACCCTCGATGGTGATGGCCGGCGGGCAGCACTGGACCCCCCGGCGGGCCGGATATAACCCCTGATTGGCATCATCGGGCATCCAAACCAAATATAACATCTTTATTTCATGTTTCTTATTTTTCAATAAATTTCAAGCAAGCAAACAAATTGCTCCTGGTTTTCTGTTCGGGGGCAAAGCCACGAGTCAGACAACTGGACCCGATCTTCCGACGTGGCTAAAGCGATAGGACGCACAAATAGGGGCCAAAGGAAGGGCCAAAGAGCGAGTTTTAGCCACCACACCGCTGTTGAAAATAAACTTAAGAAATTTTCGGGTTTGCCACAAGCCACCCCCCCCAGTGAACTATAGTGTTGGTATTGTGCTGTGGGGATGCCTCTCTTAGTAGGTACAAGGAAACTAGTCAGAATTGATGGAAAGATGGATGGAGCCAAAAAAGGGCAATCCTTGAAGAAAATATGATGCAGTCTGCAAAAGACTCTGGACTGGAGGTTCATCTGCCAGCATGACAATGAACCCTTAGCATACAGCCAGAGCTACAAAGGAATGGTTTAGATCAGAGGTCTGAAAGTCAAATCAGGTGCGGGCCAGATGCAGGCCACTTCGACCGAACGCAGGCCAGACCATTACGGTGGACGTTGGTGGCGGCGCTGACGGTCCGACCGGCGAACGGTACGGTGGTCTATTGAAGTCCATTTGAAATTGTGTTTGTAGGAGTACAAACGGGAAAAGATTTAAGGGAGGTGAATTTATGCAAGGCACTGTAAATGTACTGCACCATGAGCATATGCTGAATCAGTGTAAATGTTCGCTTTTCTGTCACTAGTCATAGGTGCGGCTGTGTCGGTGTATTGGATAATCTAGCTCTTCTTCTAACTATGACAACTGTCAGAGAGAAGGCGTGAGTCTCTAGACTAGGGACTAGTTTCCAGTTTTTGGCTAATTCACCGGCGTTAGCGTCCTTTTATCGACTCTGGTTAAGACAATTTTAACTTAATAATTAACAGTATATGCATTTGTGTGACTATTTGGGGTTTGGGGTAAGTCAAGGCCGGTGGCTTCTGCATGAGGCAGTTGGCGGTCTTTCAAATCTTTTAGTGCAGCATTGAATAAGCTAGGACCATGAACCTTTGAGGAATTCGGTTGCATCTTTTGCCTTGGAACGCGATTGAGAACATCTCTTGACTCGAGGGATTGAGTGGCAGGCAAAGTAATTCATTTGTAATTTACAGTAAATTAAACTCAATGGGTGATGCAATATATTTTTATTTGGGTTTACTTCTATCGAATAATGTACCATTCTCTAACCTCATCCTCAGCTTTCGGTTTGGGGAGTACAGGTGTGTTCCACTGAGATTCTGTTTGCCTCAACCTAATGACTTTGTCATTAGATCTCTCCCTATTAAGTTGACAGGGCGTTGGGGGAATACAGGAACTGATAGAACAGGTGTTGTCTTCTTTGCACCTCTGTCTTTCCTATATATTCAACCGGTCTCTGAGAGTGGGCGCCGCTTCCGTTTAGGTTTTGTATGCATGAGACTGCCGCGCCAGAGTTAACCTCATCTTAATGTTGACTCCGGATACAATACAGGTCAACATTGGTTCTGCCTCAGCCATGTAAACCACACATGGTTCCAGTGTTAATTTCGTCGACGAAAACTATGACGAAAATTTTTGTTAACGAACCTTTTTCCATGACTAAGACGAGACTAAGACGTGACGAAAACTATCTTAAAAAATTATGATTAAACAGAACAGAAAACTATGATTAAATTTATTCTAACTTTCGTTAACGAGCGAGACGAACATGTTGGTGGTTGACGAAGTCACAATACTTTTACCCTAAATTCGCACGCACGCAACAGACAGGCAAAGTACGGCGGATAACGCGTCATGATGACGTCACCCACGAACCCAGAACGCTCGGTCGGAGCGGTGTAGCGGTGGTTCTTGTGCACCGACTACGGACCGCGACGACTATTTTACGCTTCGGCGAGTTTGAATGTGCGCTTCCTTAGTTTAGCTCAGCTATCTCGGTTTAGCTGTCTGTTAGCAGGCTGAAGCCACGCTGCTTCAGAGAAACATGAAGACCCGTTTAACAGACTGTCGGCCAGCAGAGATCCACGCGGACCTTTCTGCTCTGTTCTCTGGCGCCGGCAGGCAGCGTTTCCTCGGCTGGATAAGACGGTCCGCCACACGCTAACACGTCTAACATAATAAAGTCATTGCAGGTTCTGAAGCCTCACGCATTGACCGTGAAACACACGCAGTCGGGGCGACTGTGGGTGAGTGGGGAGCACGGTCGTCCTCCAATCGGAGGGTTGTCGGTTCGATCCCAGGCCCGGCTAACCCGCATGTCGTTGTGTCCTTGGGCAAGACACTTAACCCAACATTGCTCCTGTAGCGTGTGTGTGAATGGTAGTTACTGATGGGCAGGTGTCACTGTGTATGGTTCTCCTGTCATCAGTGTATGAATGGGTGTGAATGGGTGAATGATGTCATGTAGTGTTAAAGCGCTATGAGTGGTCAGAAGACTAGAAACGCGCTATAAAAGTACAATCTATTTACCATTACCATTTCAACTATAGTTCACACGCCACATCGTGAGAAGACACTGTTAAACCGCCTCGGCCACCATACGTTCGTTACTAAGCAACATAGAGGCGCCACACACGTGACAGGTGGATCCTTTTGATAGAACTGCGCAGTGCAGGTGAAGGATGTGGCAGCACAGAGCAGGTGGAGGAAGACCCACAGGACACAAGAGAAGAACTGGTCATGAAACCAAAAAATAAACAAAGTGAGAAAGAAAAGACTGTTGAAAAGTGGGGGGTCCAGTTTAGAATGGCTGGTTTATCATGCAGTCAAGAAAATAATGTATTGCACCGGTTGTAGGACGTTAAGGGGTCTCTTTTGTTGGGACAAGCAATTTCACAGTGGAAATAATAAAGGAGCATGAAGTTTCCGGTGGCCATGTCAAAGCATTGCAAGTAAACAGACAAAGACAACAAAGTGTTGCGTTTAGATCCCTGGTCCTCATGAAGTTGCTACACCTTTGCCAATTTGTTAAATTGCCTTGCAAATAAATGCTTTGCTATTTGTTAAAATCCAAATCCTTTCATGTAATGATTTTTCACATGTAATTTATATTAGCTCACACAAACACTTCAACCATTTGTTCTTGGCCCGGCTCCTCAGTCACATTTTACAACCCATTGTGGCCCGCGAGTCAGAAAGTTTGCCGACCCCTGCTATAGATCTGTCCTAGGAGGGACATCTAATGGACAACCAAGTACTGCAAGCTAGACTATTATGCAGTTATAGACACAACACAGGGGGTCCCTGGGCCTGAGAAGGGAAGAAAAGGAGTTTAAAATGGCTATTAAATGTGACTAAAACTAATTACATTTTAGTCTAGTTTTTGTCGACTAAAACTAGACTAAAATGTTCTGAGTTTTCGTTGACGAAAACTAGACTAAAACTAAGAAGGATTAAAATGACTAAATGTGACTAAACTAATATGCATTTTTCGTCTAAAGACTAAATCAAAAATAGCTGCCAAAATTAACACTGCATGGTTCTGAATCTTCTGGGCCTCTTTTCCACTGACCGTGTTGGTCAGTGCCATACCTCTGATGACCTCTGTCTCCAATGACACCATAGGTGTCTATTGCTGTGGGGCTAGCATGAGGGAAGGTACATGTGAGACTGGTGGACCTGTTCTTTGGTTCTGCTGGGGTTGTGTTGGATATAGAGGCCATCATGGTGGCGCACTGACCTCCATTTCCCTTCTGTTATTCCTTGGACATTCATTTGCCCAGTGACCTCCCTGTCCTCATATGAAATCATTCATCTCCATTTACGGCTCTTCCTTGGTGGAATCCTCTCCCTCTGTTGTATCCACGTCCCCTGCCTCCATACTGTGGTGGGGTTATTTCCAGGACTAGAATGATGGTACCCTCGCTGCGGGCTACTCTGGCCCGTATATCTCCAAGTACCATATATTGGCTGTCCAACTACTCAAATAGCCGGAACCAAGGGAAAGCTCCTCCTCCCAGAGGTTGCAGTGCTTTTTCCACTGCGTCCATATCTTGATGTCTCCTTGAATTTACCCATACTCCATTGAATTTTGTCAGGAGAGGGCACTGTTGGACAGGAGATGTTTGAAGCGGCTTAATTCTTACTGGGAGGACATAGTTTGCCTAGCGGTCTGGAACCGGGTCTTCACTCGGGTAGATTGTCCGCGGGGTGTGTAAACTTCAGCTGCCCCCTAATCTTCCACTCCTTTCCTTAGCCCCTGATCTTCCATCCAGTCTCTGGATGTTTCCAGCAATTCCTGAGTCGTTGTGTGATTATCAAGCGGCCTGGCAGTGTTTAAAGGACCTCTAACTTATTTATATTGTACTAGATTCTACTCTCACTGTGACTGTGACAAAAATATAAATTTATATTCTAAAATTATGGAGTGCAAATCCTTTAATACCAATCGAATGTTCTAGTCTATGCAACGGGATCCAATGATGAATGGTGTCATTCATGTGGCACTGAGGTCCAGCAAGCCTTGTTCCGATGCAGGTATAAGATCATTCGTACATTTCACCAGTGCTGTTTCTGTTATGCACTCAAAATTCTGACTCGATTGAACAAAGCATTGTTTTGTAGAAAGTCACATAATTGATTATATGAGAATACGGATTTCTCAAGGATCTCAGAGGAAGGGAAGATTAGAGATAGGTCTATAGTTAGCCAACACCTCTGGAGCAAGAGTAGGTTAATTACGTCCCCATTTTTTAGATCAGGGGTCACCAAACTTTTTTCTCTGGGGGCCACATTATCGTTCCTGACTGTGATGAGGGGCCGGGGCCGGGTCAGCTATATACATAGAATTGTATGACCCAGATCAAAATGACCACCAGCAGGCCTCATTGTGTAGTAGAGATTACTAGCCTGGCACAGCCATCCACACTACTATATCCACACTACTATATCAACACGTTATTCCTGGCACATATTTGTTTATCTTTACTAGTGGTTTGCAAAAGTAGTAATCGAGTCTTCAAACTTTGTTTTAATTTGAAATATCACAGATATTCCATTTATTTATTTTCAAATAAAAATAACATCAAAGCTGAAAACTACAGTGTCCAACATTGTTTTAGCATATGTACACACCGATTCCACATTAACTTTAGTGACTTCCGAGTGGCGTAATTGGGAGTAGTTACCGCCGACGTGAATTACAATCTTACTGTATTTACGTTTATCCATAGCCAGCAATTGAAGATAACTCAATGGTGCCCTCTCTGGCCCCAGGTACACATATAACACTTTTCCTTCCAGCTGTTAGAGCAGGGTAAAAAAATTTTAAGATTTAAGTTAAAGGAATTTAACTAATAGAAGCAAGTTACAAAGGTAATTACGCTACTGATAGTGCTATGTTTGACAAAATAGAGATTCTTTGGATTCCCACGTAGTCCAGTATACACTCCTCCTCTAGTACAGAGTTGTCTAGTCAGGCCCTCCGGGTCATCTGCCTTTTGTCTGTGATGGTGTCTTTTTAGTGTCCTGAAGGTGTTTAACGTTCTGTATCAATCTCCAGTGATTGGCTTTAATCCAATCGGTAGCCACGCCATCCTGCCGGCACATACTTACCGTGTTACATACATTCAATAAACATACCTTTGGTCTAAAGCTTAAAGTAAACATAATATATATCATATAATACCTAACTCTAACATTTCATATAAAATATATTACTAATATCACAAACCTCATATGGTATTTGATATTAGAAACATGACATATCATATTACTAACCATAATATCACATTTATAATTGAACACATATAACACTTACAAGAATTTCTACTAATTTCTAATTTCCATAATGCTTTCAATACAATTCCTCACCTGCATCAAACTACACAGAGCGCAATATATTACACAATGAGTCATATTGCAGAGTAGAGACTTGCTTTGAGGAGTATTTGCTGTACACACTAACTTCAAATTACTATATGGGTATGGCACATTCAAGCTAAGGGAGATCTTGGTTTCTATAAAGTTTCTACGGGAGTTTATTTATATTGCAATTTACATATTGTTAACTGTGCTGAAATTGGGGTATGAAAAGTGATATCAAAAACACAAGAACTTTAATATGTGTGTACGCATTTGTGTGTGTTCACCCAGACAGCAGAGGGCGCCCTGGCCAACCTGAAGAGTAAGTATGAGGCAGAGAAGTCCATGGTGACTGACACCATGATGAAGCTCAGGAATGAGTTGAAAGCCCTGAAGGAAGATGCCGCCACTTTCTCCTCTCTGCGGGCCATGTTTGCCACCAGGTCAGAGACAAAAAAGAAGAAACTAAAGTCCACAACTCAATTTTTGATTTAGGATAACTATGACTCTAAAGACTTCATGTCTGCTTGCAGGAATGAAGCCCTAGAGCAGTTTTTTGCAATTTTAATTCATTCTGCTTTATTTACTGAAGGCTTCCCAGTAATATTTAAAAAAGCACATAGCAGTTATTTTTCATTTCTACCATAACAATATGCGTAACCTAGATTTTCTGTTGATTCCTTGTTGTCCCTGTCAACAATCATTCTAATCTTTAAGACATCCTAAGGAACAGATTGGAAAATAATAGTTGAAGAGAAGATCAATAGCGCTCTGTCTGCAACTATCAAGCTACAGCCAACCATTGGCATATTTAGCTTAGCCCAATGACTTCAAACAGTTATAGAAGTATCAAAATCCTACTAACTCTTCTAAAACCTACTTACAGTGCCTTGCGAAAGTATTCGGCCCCCTTGAACTTTTCGACCTTTTGCCACATTTCAGGCTTCAAACATAAAGACATAAAACTGTAATTTTTTGTGAAGAATCAACAACAAGTGGGACACAATCATGAAGTGGAACGAAATTTATTGGATATTTCAAACTTTAACAAATAAAAAACTGAAAAATTGGGCGTGCAAAATTATTCAGTCCCCTTAAGTTAATACTTTGTAGCGCCACCTTTTGCTGCGATTACAGCTGTAAGTCGCTTGGGGTATGTCTATCAGTTTTGCACATCGAGAGACTGACATTTTTGCCCATTCCTCCTTGGAAAACAGCTCGAGCTCAGAGGTTGGATGGAGAGCGTTTATGAACAGCAGCTTTCAGTTCTTTCCACAGATTCTCGATTGGATTCAGGTCTGGACTTTGACTTGGCCATTCTAACACCTGGATATGTTTATTTGTGAACCATTCCATTGTAGATTTTGCTTTATGTTTTGGATCATTGTCTTGTTGGAAGACAAATCTCCGTCCCAGTCTCAGGTCTCTTGCAGATTCCATCAGGTTTTCTTCCAGAATGGTCCTGTATTTGGCTCCATCCATCTTCCCATCAATTTTAACCATCTTCCCTGTCCCTGCTGAAGAAAAGCAGGCCCAAACCATGATGCTGCCACCACCATGTTTGACAGTGGGGATGGTGTGTTCAGGGTGATGAGCTGTGTTGCTTTTACGGCAAACATAACGTTTTGCATTGTTGCCAAAAAGTTCGATTTTGGTTTCATCTGACCAGAGCACCTTCTTCCACATGTTTGGTGTGTCTCCCAGGTGGCTTGTGGCAAACTTTAAACGACACTTTTTAAGGATATCTTTAAGAAATGGCTTTCTTCTTGCCACTCTTCCATAAAGACCAGATTTGTGCAGCATACGACTGATTGTTGTCCTATGGACAGACTTTCCCACCTCAGCTGTAGATCTCTGCAGTTCATCCAGAGTGATCATGGGCGTCTTGGCTGCATCTCTGATCAGTCTTCTCCTTGTTTGAGCTGAAAGTTTAGACGGACGGCCGGGTAGATTTGCAGTGGTCGAATACTCCTTCCATTTCAATATTATTGCTTGCACAGTGCTCCTTGGGATGTTTAAAGCTTGGGAAATCTTTTTGTATCCAAATCCGGCTTTAAACTTCTCCACAACAGTATCTCGGACCTGCCTGGTGTGTTCCTTGTTCTTCATGATGCTCTCTGCGCTTTAAACAGACCTCTGAGACTATCACAGAGCAGGTGCATTTATACGGAGACTTGATTACACAGGTGGATTCTATTTATCACCATTAGTCATTTTCGTTCCACTTCATGATTGTGTCCCACTTGTTGTTGATTATTCACAAAAAACTACAGTTTTATATCTTTATGTTTGAAGCCTGAAATGTGACAAAAGGTCGAAAAGTTCAAGGGGGCCGAATACTTTCGCAAGGCACTGTATCTGGTCTGTTCCAATGTATTAAAACTGAACAACCCATGTTAATTAGGGGTCCATGAGAATAGCAGCATGTCCGTGAACAAAAGTGTTTTCCCCTTTTCATGGCCTCTTATTTCACGTAGATTGTGGTAATTTCTACATTTGAATCAGCTCTATTTTAACCTTTTTGAACCTTGCTCTCTTTAGGTGTGATGAATATGTTACCCAGCTGGATGAAATGCAGAGGCAGTTAGCTGCGGCTGAAGATGAGAAGAAGACTTTAAACTCCCTTCTTCGAATGGCCATTCAGCAAAAACTGGCCCTCACCCAGCGCCTGGAGGATTTGGCTTTCGATCAAGAGCAAACCCACCGCACCCGTGGGGGAAAGCTGAACCGTATGAAGACCAGCACCCCTAAAGTAAGTCCCCCGGCCTTGCCTTCAGCCTCCAACATAACCCATGGCTCTACTTCAGTCTTGGCCCCTCTCAGCCTCCCGCTTTCAGATTTGCCTAGTCAAATGTCCATTGTTCCTGATGATCCCACTGGGCCCCTTAGCCCATCTGTGGTCAGTGTGGATCTGGCCTCAGCTATCACATCCCCTATGTCACACATACCTTCTTGCAGTCCGTCATCTGCAACGGCCTCTTCATTTGATGGCCCTCCGGCAACAGATGGCCCCCCGTATCTGAAGGCGCTCTCTCCCTCAGTGCGGGCACCGCCCTCAATCCCTCTGAAGCTGGCTCAATCCCAGTGGACCCTAGGGGTGCGGACATTTGTGGTTGACCCCCACAGTTTCAGTGTCAACATCTCCCCTGCTTTGTCCCATAGTTTGGGGTCCTCCGGGCACTACATTCCAGATTTTCATACCTCTCCCCCATCCATCACTACTGCAAAAAGACCCACGCAACCGGGATCTACCCCCTCCTCTGCCTACAGGTCCCCCAATTTGGGGCTCAGGCGCTCCACTTGGAGCCCTTCGCCCCGAACTCGGCCTCTGTCCAGCTTGACGCGTTCTTCTGTCCTCTACACTCCTTTCACACCCTCTCCTTACTCTTCCTCCCACAGCTATTCCACTGCCTACTGTAGCGCCTCTCCTGCTTTTACCCCCTCTAGCTCCTTTCTCACATCTGGTACCTCCTCCTCCTATAGCCACTCTACCAACTACACGCCCCTCTACCCCAGACACTATAGTTCATACAGCCCATGGCACTGACCCCAGGTACTATAAACACTTTACAAGTCTTTTTTTCCCCACCAGGCTCTGTAATGACATTAAAACTGCAACTTTTTGTTTGAGTCAGGGCTCACAGAGAGGTGGACAGAGTGGTTTCCTGTGCCTAAGCTTTGGCCAATGGCTTCTGAATGTTAAGTGACTGCTCAGGGATTTGACAAAAGGAGCACAAGAGGCCTCACCTTCCTTCAATTCTGAAACTGCTGATTGTCTACAGGGGAACGTTAAGAGACTTTTCAATGAGTTTTTTAACATTTAGATTCTTCAGGTTGAGACCACATGCATTAAGTGATTTAAAAAACAGACATTCAAACAATGACTGGACATTTGGTACACACTTCAATAGGTTTGAATGAGGAGTATCACAAATTAAATCCCTTCTATATGCAACACAATATCCAATCTGAAATCATTATGTACACAAACACTGTAAACTAGATGTCTTTCAGTTCAAGGATTATCTTCCTTTGATGAGGTACTAGATTCCTAAGGATTCAGTATGATTTAAACAAATCATTGAGGAAGTATTTTCCAGTCCTGAAATTAAGTTGTCTATTGTGGGGGGAACTATGTCCAAGAAGTTGATTCTAGGCATTGGCAGATGCTGTGTAAAAAGTAAAAAGGGAGATCCTTTTATTGTTTTACACCTATGCACAGATTCTGGCCGATAAGTCAGTCTAGTTAAATTGTCATTTCCAAAGTTTTGTCAGATGTAGCATCCTAAATTATGTCAATTTAGGATTGTGAGGGGAGGGTGTCAGTCATTCCTACAAGCTTTCTTTGAAGCATACTGACTCCTTTCATGTTCCAGCTTTGATCCTACTCAAGAATCTCTATTCGCACACACATTTGTACGATGAGACAGTTGTGGACGTGGAGTGATCACCTCAATGACAATTCTTTATTTCTTGTCCAGGGTTGTTGCTATCATCAGCTGTCCATGTCCAGTGTTTTTTATCTCGTATAGCCATGTACTCAGCTATGCATGATCACGTTTGTATACTCGTCTACACAGAATCCCTCCCTCATGCTTCCATATGTAAAATTGATCTGAAAGAGGGTGCACACTGTATGGAATGCTGTGGCAGGGAAGAACAAATGAGAAGAAGAGCACTCAAACATGGCATATCTAAGGAATTGTACAAGTTGGCATTGTAACTCTCCGAAATTGCTTGGTGTTAGCTATGATGATATGTGTCTTTATGGTTGGAAGTCTCCTTCTCGTCATTTGTTATTTGAACTTTCTTTAAAGCTTGGGTTGGTGATTCTGAGAAACTAGAAGAATACACTAGATTAACATGACCCAACCTAAAAGCCCGGCTCAGTGTTGTCAATTCTTTTCCAATGACAATACCTAGCAGAGGTAGCTAGTTTAACCACCCTACAAAATGGAGATATGAGCTCACGCGTAAATTAATAGCTGGCAAGTTGGGTAGGTAGACGGGAAGGTAGCCCGCCCAATCATTACATAATGAATGAATAAAAAGATTGGACAGTCTTATTATAGTCCTGTGAGAGTCAGAAATACTTATTATTTTTGTTTTTGTCAGAATATTTCATTCATTGATTACTGTCGGTATGTAGAATTGAAAAATGTAGATGAAAGAATTAAGAAGACTACCAACCCTGCATTTAAGCATATCACCAATTAAAAACACACCGCTAAGGTAACCATTTAATAAAAAAAAAAAAATCGAACAACCAGAAATCCTCAAGTCAATTTCCATGTCACCCATTAGTTACAACTGACTTTCCTGAGAGCAAGATGCAAACTCACATTAGCACACAGTTTTTTTTGGAAAGAAAATGTGATAATTTGTTTCCTTTGGCCCTGTCCCAACAAGACCCATGCAAATAAGGTCTCAGGAGCCATCATATTCTTCGTTTGGACCTTAAACCAGACTACTGTCTCTCGAATTTAACTTTCAGCGTATTAGAGATAACAGTGCCACTAGTGATACATTATCTCAAATTGTAATGTAAAACAAAAAATCCAAGCCAACCACATCGCTAATCAACTCAGCATATTTATATCTACACAGGAAGAGAAAATTATTCAACACTATTTTGACGCACTATCATGGATGACTTGAGTTATAATTGGGAACATGATGTTGTATTCCCTTGTGGCCAGGTTCAAGCAGTCATCTTCACATCATCACACATGTTAAGGTTGTGTTAGCTCTTTTTCACTGTACTGCACCAAACTCAGGGAACGAGGCAGACCCATTCATCCTGTAATGAGGAACACCAAAACCAGAAAGACTACTAACAACTGAGGGCACATATCTCCCAAATGAGATTACAAAAATGTAATTTCTTTAACCATGGATTCTCAAACTTTTTCAGTCAGAACCCACTTTGGACGAAGCAAAATGTCCATTGACCACTGGCCCATCAAAAATGTACATGTTGAATTATTATTGAAATAACATTTTGTGAGTCCTCCATCTATGCCTTCTCAAATTAATGGAATTAAACCACATGGCTCCATTTATTGTAACAAAGTTTATCCTGTGAAAAACTAAACCAGGTCGGTTAAAATCTTTGGCAAAACAGTTTTACGCTGCATGTATTTTCAAAACAGGGTTGCAGACTTGATACGGCCACTCTCAATTTATGACCAATATATTTAGCTTGTATTATATTCATATTTAATGTTGAGAGGCAACAGCATCTGTAATTTTCTGAAAATAATAACCTACCTTTATTCAATTCCACACCTTCATCTCAGGCACATTATCTTGTCACTTTTTTCCATTTTTGTGGGGATAATGACAGATCAGTCAGATAATATGTTTAACTGTGATTTGATTGTCATTGAGAACACAAACTTTGCAAATACTTACCCACGTTCTTTCAACTTCTCTTCGATGTAAATATACCAACCTTCTCCCTCTGCCATTAGAAATTTTAATGGTCACTTCTTTTTTTTTGTTCCAATCTATTCATTCAGACTGTCACAGTTGTCGGTTCACTTTTGACTCCTGTCTAACATTGTCAATGAACACTCTTTTGTGTAAGTTTGATGACAACATGTTTTAAACACACTTAGTCTCTCCCTGTCCTTTACTGTACCCCATGTGTCATTTCAACAGGTAGTTATCTAATTTATTTTTATCTAAATTATTTCTATTATGTCACCATGTCAATGTTTCCCTTGTTTCAGCAATTAGTACAGATCGCATACTTTGAAATGTGCTTGTCCTGACTTAAGGCCATCATACTATGTTAAAGAGAATTTGAATATATATCTGCTTCACAGAACCTGGGAATTTCTGCCACTAAGAAGCCGATACATTTTCTTTATAGAAAAAATGTAAAAAGTTGTTGGATAAAGTATTCTTGGATACCAGATAAAATAAGACGTTTTATAAAATAAAATCCTCAGACTTAAAAAGCTCACCAAGTGCTGGCATGTTAGGGCCTTTGCTAACTAGCCAGCCAACTACATGACAGCAGGCACTAGACAGAGAAGAGCAGCCTCTGATGCCGCAGAGTCATTGTTGACCCTTTGTAATATTAGATTAAAATTGCTTACATTTAGTAAATCTGAAATTAGTTTGGCTGGCATTCCACTGATTTGTTGCTGTAACTGAAGTTTGAGCTAAGTGTCAATCTTTTGTAAGACATTTATCAGCTGGTTTAAAAGGTTTAAGTATGGCCTGGCACACTGCAAAATGAAACATTCCTCAGTTTAAGACTTCACACATGAACTGTTCATATTTTTTTTCTTTAATAAATATAATTGAGGAAACATGACTTCATAAATGTCTGAATCTGCTCTTTTGCTTGACAGAATGATTTTTTAGAGCAAACCAAATAATTACATTTGTAATTAATAAAACAATGAATTAACTAGCACGTTTCCTATTCTAATGGTCTCGCAGAAAACATTTGAAATTGCATGCTTTTCTTGGAGGAGGGCCCCAATAACTGCTAGTATATTTTACTCAGTGTACAATTAAGTAATAATAATTGCCTAACCCGGCAGAAACAAAAGGGAGTTCCAGCACCTCTGGCACTGGGTTTGTCCTTTCGAAGCCTTGCTATTTTTTTTCAGCTGTCACCTTATTCTTTTCAGCCATTGTTACAATTAACTTTCATGCAGTGAAAACCCAGTGAAAGGGTTTAAGCTGTAAGACAAAAATGGACAACATCCTGTGGACAACGTTGTGGGTGTGACCTGTAAGTCACAAGGTAGCCCCACACAAAGCACACCTGTTAAGTGTCTTAAGGAAACATCAACACGCAAGTTAGTAGGGCTGTAATTGAACCATTTTTATCAAATATTAAATGACCTGGTGTCCATTCATGTTAATAAAAAACGTTGTACGGTTCAAAATATGAATTTGCTACACTTGTTTAATGCTATCAATCATCACCTTATTGACATTAAAAGTACAAAAAGAATTCTTCGTTGTTAATTCATCATTTTTTATTGAACAATTCTTATATTTGCAGAGAGCTGCAAAAAATAACTTTTTTCACCAGATTTTACCAGAACTTTTTTTGTGACCAGCAAAACATAATGTTTTCTTGCTTTCGGTACTGAGAGTGCAATGCTGTATATTTACTTTTGTTTTTACAAATTATGTGATTTCCTTAAATATACCAGGAGATATTGAGGCAGAACGTTATGTCAGAATTCATCGGTTATTAGTTACATTGCTGCTTTGTAGTAATACAAAGCATGTCAATGACAAATAATGGTATCCTAGAAAGAAGAAACCTTCACAAATATAAAACCGTGCAGATTTTTGGTAACAATCAGTGGATGAGTTATAAGAACAAGCGTTGTTGCTGTGTCATCTAGTAGATTCTATTATATACAGTGAGTACGGAAAGTATTCAGAGCCCTTCACATTTTTCACTATTTGTTTCATTTGCTAAAATCAAAAAAGTTAGTTTTATTTCTCATTAATGTACACTCAGCACCCCGTCATGACAATTTTTTTTAACTAATTTATTAAAGAAAACTTGAAATATGACATGGTCATAAGTATTCACTCTGAATGTGAAAGAGTCACGTGGGACCACCGAGTAAGATGGCTGCCTAAACGATAACTCTCCACAAACCCACCTGTCTGACCTTAATTTGCTAACGACAGAGTGAATGTGCGGTAACTTCGATCGAAGTAATAGGCTAACACTTTTGGAATTGATAACTGGACATAGTGGGCGCTTAGTGTCAACGAGTCATACAATATGTCAAGGAGAGCGGCCAAGCAAAGTGCTAATGCCAGCGACGTTGATGGAGTATTTCTCCATCTCGACGAAGCAGAAAAGAATTTCCCAGTTGGAAGATGACAACCACCAACTTGGCCAAATAGTTAGGAAATGCTAAAAAGTGCGAGGAACTGCATCAGGCCTTGGAGGACGCGACGAACAGAGACACGCGACAGAATCTAAGGCTCATCGGCCTAAGGGAGAAGCTGGAGAACGGTAAACCATTAGAATGTGTGAGAAAGATAATTTACGAAACACAGGATGGAGCTGGACGCAGAGCAACTGCAGCGAGTGCACCGGTAGCAATGCCGGATGAAGACCGGCCACCCAGACCAATTTATTAGATTTCTAAGCTTTCTGGTGCGGGAGAGAGTGCTGGCTGCGGCGAGAGAGAAGTAGGATATGATCTGGGAAGGCCGTAAATTATTAGTCTTCCCGATATGACTAAAGAAGCAGCAGAGAAGTCAAGAAAGTTCAGGGAAGCGAGAAGACTGCTGCACCAACTGGATGTGCGCTTTACGCTGTCATATCCAGCAGAACTACGGTTCACATGGAGAGGAGAAAGAATGAGGATCATCGAGAGGCAATGGGCTTTCTTGAAAAAGGAGGCGGCAGAGAAGCGGAACTACAAGTTGCTACTTGAACTCAGGCACAGAATGCCTGCAACAGCAGCAGGATATGAGTCACTGTTATGACAAACTTTTTTAAAATGTATTTTCTTCTACAACTCTAAGGAGGCCAGATTCACAGTGAGTAGATTAAGTCACACTCTCTAGCCGGTTAGGGCGTCTCGTCCTTGGGTTGGCAGCTAGTACCACATGTGAGAGGCACAGCGTTAGAAAAAAAAAAAACGCTGCAGGTAGAGAATCGCTCTGTGATGGGTCGGGTGGGGGGTCTGGTGGTGACCTCTTTAGTGTGCCCCATGGTCCTTTTTGGTGGGGAAACTGAGTGAGAACATGAGACTGGGTGGGAATAGGGTTCTTTGGGGGGAGGTGTATTGTATATTTGGGTTATGAAAGGCACCTGTATTATGTTTAAGGTCCCTTCATATGCAAACTATCCCGTTGGTATTGAAAGTAAAACTACACGGTTAAAAAAAATAGCTAGCGGTCTAAGAATATTGTCATGGAATGTAAATGGGCTACATAATCCTATAAAAAGGAAACAAATTCTACTATACCGGAAATCCAAACAAACTGACGTGGCTTTCATACAAGAGACCCACTTGATTAACTCTGAGGGAGCTAAATTAAAAAGAGATTGGGTCGGGCAAGTACAGTGCATCCGGAAAGCATTCACAGCGCTTCACTTTTTCCACATTTTGTTAAGGTTCTTAACAAGGTAATCTTAAGAACCGGAACAAGGTTCTTAAGGTAAGCCTTATTCCAGAATGGATTAAATTCATTATTTTCCTCAACATTCTACACAAAACAACCCATAATGACAAAGTGAAAACTGTTTTTTGCAAATCTGTTAAAAATAAAGAACGAAAACAACATGTACATACGTATTCACAGCCGTTGCTCAATACTTTGTTGAAGCACCTTTGGCAGCAATTACAGCCTCAAGTCTTCTTTGGTATGATTCCACAAGCGTGGCACACTTATTTCTGGGAGGTTTCTCCCATTCTTCTTTGCAGAACCTCTCAAGTTCCATCAGGTTGGATGGGGAGCGTCGGTGCACAGCCATCTCTCTCCAGAGATGTCAGGGCAAGCTGGTCAGGGCTCTGGCTGTGCCACTCAAGGACATTCACAGAGTTGTGCCGAAGCCACTCCTTTGTTATCTTGGCTGTGTGCTTCGGGTCATTGTCCTGTTGGAAGATGAACCGTCGCCCCAGTCTGAGGTCCAGAGCGCTTTGGAGCATGTGTTCATCGAGGATGTCTCTCTACATTGCTGCATTCATTTTTCCCTCAATCCTGACTAGTCTCCCAGTTCCTCCCGCTGAAAAACATCCCCACACCATGATGCTCCCACCACAATGCTTCACTGTAGGGATGGTATTGGCCAGGTGATGAGCAGTGCCTGGTTTCCTCCAGACATGACGCTTGGCATTCAGGCCAAAGAGTTCAATCTTTGTTTCATCAGACCAGAGAATTTTGTTTCTCATGGTCTGAGAGTCCTTCAGGTGCTTTTTTGCAAACTCCAGGCGGGCGGTCATGTGCTTTTTACTGAGGAGTGGCTTCCGTCTGGCCACTCTACCAAACAGGCCTGATTTGTGGAGTGCTGCAGAGATGGTTGTCCTTCTGGAAGGTTCTCCTCTCAGTCTTCTCACCCGATAGCCCAGTCTGGCTGGGTCGCGAACTCTAGGAAGAGTCCTGGTGGTTCCGAACTTCTTCCATTTCCGAATGATGGAGGCCACTGTGCTCATTGGGACTTTCAATGCTGCAGAAATCTTTCTGTACCCGTCGCTAGATCTGTGCCTCGATACAATTCTGTCTCGGAGGTCTACAGATAATTCCTTGGACTTCATGGCTTGGTTTTTGCTCTGATATGCACTGTGATACCTTATATAGACAGGTGTGTGCCTTTTTCAATCATGTCCAATCAACTGAATTTAGCACAGGTGGACTCCAATCAAGTTGTAGAAACATCTCAAGGATGATCAGTGGAAACAGGATGCACCTGAGCTACATTTTGAGTGTCATGGCAAAGGCTGTGAATATTTATGTACATGTTATGTTTTCGTTCTTTATTTATAACAGAATTGCAAAAATGTGCAAAATACCGTTTTTACTTTGTCATTATGGGCTGTTGTGTGTAGAATGTTGAGGAAAATAATGAATTTAATCCATTTTGGAATAAGGCTGTAACATAACAAAGTGGAAAAAGTGAAGCGCTGTGAATACTTTCCGGATGCACTGTATATTACAGTTAATGGAGTGGCTATACTTGTGCACAAAAAATTGAATTTTCAAATGCTAAGAGAAGAAAAGGATGAGGAAGGTAGACTGATATGCCTGGAATCCAGAATTGATGGTGTATAAATTAATTTATGTAATATCTATGCGCCAAATATTGAGGATCCAGTCTTTTTTCATAAAGTGAACAAATTAGTGGGAACCACAGTTGATGGGCATACAATCATAGCGGATTTTAATCAAGTTTTGGATGGAGTTCTAGATAAAACCAAAAAGATAGAAGGGCTATTGAATTATTGATGAAGGACCTTGGATTAACAGATATATGGAGGATATCAGGGTATAAAATAAATTGGCATGAATCAGAATGCATGCCAATATCAAGAGGATGTACTCGAGCAATGATGCGTTTAAATGGATCCCAATATCTGGGAATTAGACTCTGTTCAGATATTGAAAACATTCTCTTTTAATATGGACCCTTTAATACAAAAAATGAAGCTGAAGTTAGACAAATGGAAATTGATCAATTTTACCTTATGGGGAAAAATGATTAAGATGATGGTGGCTCTGTACTTTAACTACATTTCCATGATGATTCCAGTAACCGTCTCTGAAAGGATCTTTAAAGAATATAATAACTTAATTATGGATTTTTTATGGAATAACAAAAAAGTATGAAATCGCTGCCTCAAAAGATCAGGAAACATTTATGTCAGACATACAAGGAGTTTGATTTGCCGGCTGGTGCGTGACAGTAGACAGTATGACAAT